ATAAAAGTTATTTATTGCCGGGGAAATCTATACTATTAGAGTGTGTAATAAATGCCTGAATAATGAACTGTTTCGCTAAATCGCTGTCAAATTCAAGAAATTCTTGTGTTAAACAAATGTCTTTAATATTCTGTGCCATAAAGTGATGGCATTTGGTCTCCAATTCTTCGCACTTCAGTTCCAGTGCTTTAGCGTTCTCAACCGTGTGTAACTTCTGTAGTTACCAAACATAGTATTTGACTCTCGTGTCTGAGCGGTCGCTAAGAAGCGGCATTTACAACCGGTTTCAATCGTTAACCAGCTGTTTTAGCCGCGGCTAAAGCACACTATTTGTGTATAAATACTGAATAAATGCTAAAAAACTTTTATATGAATACTGTTTGACACGAATCTCTTTGCCGTCGGCGTCTGTATTGGGTTCGCATTTTTCCCAAAACTTTTCGTTACGTATCTTAAGTATAATTTTGTGGCCATAAATGAGTTGATCCCTAAACCGGAACACAATATCAGAGTCTTTGGGATTATTGAAAGATTTGCACAGATTTTGCTGAAACTTTGAGTTGAAAAGTGATGATTGTGTGGAATCGATGGACACTGAAGAGTGGTTAAGAGGCAAATCCAAAGAACTGGTCGTAACACACGTTCTGTTATTTCTGATGTTAGGGATCACCAAATTTGTTGTCTTAAATACCATTGATTTGTCATATTTATTCACTTCTTGTGGCGATTGTGTGTCTGAATCGGTGGTCACATCATCTGAGCATTCATTGGAAGTACTCGTCAATTGATTCGATGGACAGACAATTTGTGTTATCTTATATGAAAATTTGACAAACAATTCAAACACAGATTTGATACCATTTTTACACACTTTTTGAGGTTTAAGTATTGGTTTGCGATCGCATTGACCCCATATATAGTACTCGTCGTCGACCGCAACACCAATTGATATGTGACTTAAACTTTTAGCGATAATGTCTTTGAATCGGATTTGATCCGAGACTATAGTCGGTAGAAACTGAGTATCTTTTGAGCCGTTGCCTATCTGTCCGCATGAGTTGAGACCAAACGCATAGACCTCTCCATCGGTGGTCAACAGTAGGGAGTGTTCGGAACCGCACACGACTTTACTGACAACGGGAATAAAGTCTAAAAGTTTTGGACAAGTAATGGTATACATCAAGCAATTCTTGTCGTTAGTCTCCATCTCTCGACCCAACTGTCCGTTTCTATTATTACCCCACGTGTAGACTCGGCCCGTGTCTGTCAACGCCATGGCGTGAGTTTTGCCGCACGAAATGACCGCTATTTTGTGGCCAAACTCGATGAGCACGGGCTGAAACTTTTGATCGACAGTCCAGTCACCCAATTGGCCAAACATATTGCGACCCCAACCGTACATACGTTGGCATTCTGTGAGCGCCAGTGTTGTTGAATCAGAGACACACATACGGATCACCCGTTTGTCCGTTAAATCACCGCCAATTAGTTGAGGCACTAAATGCTTGTCCGCATTACCGACGCCCAGTTGACCGAAATTGTTGAGTCCCCACGAATAGCACCGGCCATCGGCTGTCAATCCAATACCAAAAAAGTACCCGTATTGGATATCTATCAAACACTTGTCGCTCAGGTGTAGGTTAAGTGTTGGACGGGATATGTGCTGACAGTCCGCACCCAAAGCCAGACATCCGTTGCGATTGTTGCCAAAGCCGTACACTTTGTCTTCATTTGTCACATATATGACAGACACGCGTCCGAAGACACACAGTATCCTTAGATTCCTGTAATCCTGTAGTGTTAGGTGTCTCGATATGATGTGAAATGTCTTATAGTCTAATAACTGATCCATATTTGTAGGTAAAACTGAAGACAATGTTCTTTTAATTGTCTTACGAGTACTTGTTTTGTAATGAGGAGACAATTGGGGGCTTTTTCTGGTCACTTATAATCGCGATCTCAATATAATAAACGGTAAAATAACTTATTTTTCAAACAACATTTCCAGTATTACTCGCGAAACAGTATTGAAAAAATAATTAAATGAAAATGATATACAAAATACCAATAATTAAACACAAAGTCTATAACACAAGTCCTTTGGCCGGAAAAATATTACGTTTTTCACAGATATTTCTTCATTTTAGTGACACTTTCGCCACAAAAGTCTCTGAAATACTGAATGAGAAATCAAGTCTTACTGCATATCTCGCGATCAAAAGCCCATACCTTTGCTCTAAAAGGCAATCATAAAAGTTTCAAATTTGCATTATTTTCTAAAAATAGGTTTTCTAATAACAAAAGTAAACAAAATATTTGAAATATTCATATGGTTTTCATTTAATAAAAGTATTTTTATCAGGGATTAAGTGTAGGATAACCTCATCTCTATTTGCGCGCCGGTAGTGAAGGGTTTTATGGATCGCCTCCGGGTTCTGCCCTTGATTTGCATTTAAGTTTTGTGATAAAATGTGCTGTTAATGAAAATAGTACAGTATTGTATTGTACAGTACAGGTGTATTATGGAGAAAACTTCCATGGTTACATTAATGTAATATTTTACTTGTTTTATTCTAATTATAATTAGTTTAATAAATATTTAGTCAATAATGTTTAATAATGATTTTGTTTATTAATACAAACAAATTGGGAATATCTTAATAAAAGTTATTTATTGGGAGAAAATCTAATACTATTAGTGTGTGTAATGAATGTCTTTTTAATGAGTTGTTTGGCTAACTCGCCGTCAAATTCCGAGAATTCTTGTGTTATACAAACTTCTCTCATATTCTGTGCCATAAAGTGATGGCATTTGGTCTCCAATTCTTCGCACTTCAGTTCCAGTGCTTTAGCGTAGAGTTGGCACACATTGAAGACATCAATGGTTTGTATCATAAACTGAGAGCACAGACTCGCCAGCGATTCTTCGCCGTAAATGTTGGCCAAAGTTAGCAATTGGTCGACAAAATCGGCGCCGATTTCAACACTATTTGTGTACAAATACTGAATAAATGCTAAAAAACTTTTATATGAATACTGTTTGACACGAATCTCTTTGCTGTCGGAGTCCATATAGTGTTCGCATTTATCCCAAAACCTTTTGTTACGTATTTTAAGAATAAGTTTGTGGCCATAAATCAGTTGATCCCTAAACCGAAACACAATATCAGAGTCTTCGGGATTATTAAAAGATTGGCACAAATTTTGTTGAAAAATAGTCGCATCCGATGAAGAAGTGAGTGATATTTTAGAGTTGAAAAGTGCTGATTGTGTGGAATCGTTGGATTCAATGTCATCGATGGACACTGAAGAGTGGCTAAGAGGCAAATTTAAAAAAGTGGTCGTAACAATCGGTCTCTTATTCTTAATGTTAGGGATCACCAAATTTGTTGTCTTAAATACCGTTGATTTGTCACTTTTATTCACTTCTTGTGGCGATTGTATGTCTGAATCGGTGGACTCAATATATGAGCATTCATTGGAAGCACTCGTCAATTGATTTGATGGACAGACAATGTGTGTCATCTTATTTGAAAATTTGAAAAACAATTCAAATACAGAATTGATGCCAAATTTGTCCACTTTTTGCGGTTTAAGTATTGGTTTTCGGTCGCATTCGCCCCATACGTAGTACTCGTCGTCGACCGCAACTCCGATAGATATGTGACAAAAATATTTAGCGCTAATGTCTTTGAATCGGATGTGTTCGGACACTTTGATGGGCAGACACTGATTAATTGTGGTTCCATTGCCTACCTGTCCACACGAGTTCATACCAAACCCATAGACTTCTCCATCGCTGGTCAATAGGAGGGAGTGATCGGAACCGCACACGACTTTATGGACAATGGGAATGAAGTCCAAAAGTTTTGGATGATTTATGATGCGATTCTTGCTGTAAGTCTCCATCTCTCGACCCAACTGTCCTCTACTGTTATTACCCCACGCATAGACTCGGCCCGTGTCTGTCAACGCCATTGAGTGAGTTTTACCGCACGAAATGTCCGCTATTTTGTGGTCAAACTCGATGAGCACGGGTTGAAACTTGTCGTCAACAGTGCGGTTACCCAATTGGCCGAACGTATTGTGACCCCAACCGTACATACGTTGGCATTCTGTGAGCGCCAGTGTTGTTGAATCAGAGACATATATACGGGTCACTCGTTTGTCCGTTAAATATCCGCCAATTAGTTGAGGCACTGATTGCTTGTCCGCTTTACCGACGCCCAGTTGACCAAAACGGTTGACTCCCCACGAATAGCACCGGCCATTGGCTGTCAATCCAATGCAAAACTGGTACCCGTATTGGATATCTATCAAACACTTGCCGCTCAGGTGTAGGTTAAGTGTGGGTCGGGATATGTGCTGACAGTTCGCCTTCAAAGCCAGACATCCGTTGCGATTGTCGCCAAAGCCGTACACTTTGTCATCATTTGTCACGTATATGACTGATGTCTGGCCGAAGACACAGAGTATCCTTAGATTCCTGTATTCCTGTGGCGTTAAGCTTTTGGATATGATGTGAAGTGTCTTATAGTCTAATAACTGATCCATTGGTTTGCGACACTCAATACAACACACGTTTGTATTGATAACAATATTACCGACAAAACTCAGGCCTTACGTGAAAGACCGCAACACAATTACTGTACAGTTTATATAAAAGTCAACGATCTTTATAAGCAATATCTATAGCGCTATTGTATTGCGCTATCGTTTCTATAGTACATTTACAGTCCATAACTAATTTGTGTGGAGAGCTATACCTTGTGCTTGATTTCGCTTTACAGTTATATATCTTTTTATTTTAAATCAATTTTTTACCGATAATTTATTTTAGGCCAAAATATGCTTTTTATTATTACATAACCAATAGTATAAAAAGTATACATGTAGTTATTTAAGAATAATACGTATGGTAAAGTTACAACAATTACAGTCATAGTTAATCTCTAAGCATAGGTTTGAATAGTAATAAAGGATAATAAATATGGTAAGAATCAGACACTATTAGAGCCAGCAATGAATGCATTATTAATGAGTTGTTTGGCTAACTCGCCGTCAAATTCCAAGAACTCTTGTGTTAAACAAATATCTTTCATATTCTGTGCCATAAAGTCATAGCATTTGGTCTCCAATTCTTCGCACTTCAGTTCCAGTGCTTTGGCGTAGAGTTGGCACACATTGAAGACATCAATGGTTTGTATCATAAACTGAGAGCACAGACTCGCCAGCGATTCTTCGCCGTAAATGTTGGCCAGAGTTAGCAATTGGTCGACAATATCGGCGCTGATTTCCATACAATTAGTGTATAAATACTGAATAAATGCTAAAAAACTTTTATATGAATACTGTTTGACACGAATCTCTTTGCCGTCGGCGTCCATATAGTGTTCGCATTTGTGCCAAAACTTTTTGTTACGGATCTTAAGTATAAGTTTGTGGCCATAAATCAGTTGATCCCTAAATCGGAACACAATATCAGAATCTTCGGGATTATTGAAAGAATGGCATAAATTTTGTTGAAAAATAGTCGCATCCGATCCAGAAGTGAGTGATATCTTTGAGTTGAAAAGTGATGATTGATTGTTATTATCAATTGTGGTGTCAATGGATACCCGTGACGAGTGATGACCAGAAAACGCTTCACGTTTTGGCGCACAATTTGATCCCATTTTCCTGATGTAAGGAATTACAAGATTTGTTACCTTAAATACTGTTTGTTTTTCTCGTTGAGTGACTTCTTGTGGTGATGTTATGTCTGAAACGGTGGACACAATGTCTGAACATTCAGTTGAATCATTTCTCAATTGATTTTGCGGACAAACAATCGTTTTATAAGTTGTCTTGAATTTTGAATACTTGACAAACAATTCAAACACAGATTTTATACCATTTTTGTCCACTTTTTGCGGACTGAGTATACGTTTGCCTTTACATTCACCCCATATATAGTACTCGTCGTCAACAGCAATGGCCGCAGATATATTGCCCGTAGTATTTGTCATAATATCTTTGAATCTAATCTGATCCGAGACTTTGATTGGCAGACACTGAGTATTTGTGGTGCCATTGCCTACCTGTCCATCCGAATTGAAACCAAACGCATAGACCTCTCCATCGGTGGTCAATAGCAGTGAATGATCGGAACCGCAAACAACTTTACGGACAACGGGATTGAAATCCAATAGCTTCGGGGAACTCACGATTTCGCTGAGACCAGTCTTGTCCCATATCCTTACCTCCCGTCCCGTCTGTCCGTATCTGTTATTACCCCACGTGTAGAGACGGCCCGTCTCTGTCAGGGCTATTGAGTGAGTTTTACCGCACAAAATGTCCGCTATTTTGTGGCCAAACTGTATGAGCACGGGTTGAAACTTGTTGTCAACAGTGCGGACACCCAATTGGCAAAACGTGTTACGGCCCCAGCCATACACTCGATCGCATTCTGTGAGCACCAGTGCAAAGCAATTAGAGACACACATACGGGTCACCCGTTTGTCCGCTAATTCACCGCCGATAAGTTGGGGCACTGAATGCTTGTCCGCTATACCGACGCCCAGTTGACCGCAATCGTTGACTCCCCACGAATAGCACCGGCCATTGGCTGTCAATCCGATGCAAAACAAGTACCCGTATTGGATGTCAGTTAAACACTTGCCGCTCAGGTATGGGTTAAGTTTGGGTCGATGTATGTTCTTGTTGTCGGCGCCCAAACCCAGACATCCGCTCTCATTGTTTCCAAAGTCGTATACTTTGTCGTCAATTGTCACGTATATGACGGATGTGTTGCCGAAGACACACAATATCTTCAGATTTCGATATTCTTCTGGTGTCAAGTGTTTTGATATCATATGAAATGTCTTAAAATCTAATAATTGATCCATTTTTGTAATAAATTAAGACAACGTGCTATTTGTTAATACTAATGATGTTTTTATTTTAAAACATGCTTTACTACAGATGTGCCATGTACTATTAATATACCTTGTTATCTTAATCCCATAATCTATGTAAATAATGGTTGTACTGATTTTATTGGTTTATTTATTATCAAAGTCAGTCAACAAAGTCAATGTCAAGAAAGTTGAATTATAATTAAAACAGTAAAAATTATTTTATTCACATTGAATTTGATGATTAAAAACAAGGATCACACAGCGATGCTATACGTTAACCACAATTCGAGAAATGCATCAAAGATTTTAAATTTTTCAATACTATTGTTAGAATACTCTCACTATTGTTATTTTGAACATTTTGAATGTTTTTGACAACAATTAGTTCTATTTATTATGGCAGATTCATTTAGTATATCTCCATAGAAAAAGCATTATCCTATTGAAATAACATTACTCCCATAGACTTAGCAAAACAACTCATTATTCATGCATTCATTACACACTTCAATAGTTTCTGATTTTTACTATAATTAAATTTATTATAATTTCTA